ATCCGACCTCAAACTTGGGTAATTAAACGAAGCCAAAAAATGTCCAATAAATTATAGTAAAAAGCAATAATATGCATGAAACTGAACTAACTGAGTTATAAGAGTAAGTGAAACCCAGGTTACCCAAAAATGAAATGGGACAGTAATCAAAGCTTCAGAGTTAAGCAACTAATTGAATCAAATCTTTCAAGTAATGATGATGACCTTAATCGACCATAACGCATAGATGATGAAACGACGTTAAAAGTGACAACTGAGGAGTGAATGAGTCAATCAGGAGGCTTTTATATGAAACCTCCTCACGCGCCGCAGCTGTAGATTCCATCCTCGTACTTTTCCACACAAAGAAGTGCCATCTGCAGCCACGCGCCGAGTCTTGCCCTGTGAAGTGCTGAACGCTAAGCTGAAATGAAGCTAGATAAAAACACAAAGCTAAACATTACAGTGCATCAGTAATTAGTAAAAGACGTGAAAATCGCGGTTATCCGCGATATTCCCGCCGACGCCAACTCACGTGACTAGGCGTCTTCCGGAAGCGCATCCAACTCTCTTTCGCGCTCTCGAATTTCTTGACTGCGTCTTGCTATTGCGTTGTGTTCTTCCGCCAGCTGATCGAGAATTCGCTGACTACGTTCAGGCAGCTCGCACAGTGCCGAGTGGTGGGTGTTCTCTCGGCAGTGGAAGCAGCGCACGTTTCGCTTCGGGCAATTCTGGCCCCCTCCGCAGCGCTCCAGGCACTGTTCGCACTTTTCGTCACGTAGCAGCAGCATACGCCTTTCTGGAGATGTTCGCACGATTGGACAGGAATCTGAGTAGTGTTCTCCGACTGCATCACAAAAGGCGCATCTCATGTGTCTATCACGTTGTCTGGTAATGACTCCTCGCTCGACCAAACGCCTCTGACAAAAGGGCTGCCTCATCAAATCCTGGATGGTGTACGAGAGACAACCTGCTGTCGCCGCAGTCGGCGGAGTTCCAACAGAACTTGCCGCCTAGTGCGCACATTGTGCGCTTGGTTCACAGGTTGACGGTCTTCCGCCCGTGCGTTTCTCTGGTTAGCCCTCGGCTCCTCAATGTTGCGGGGGTCCTCAGGTTGTGCTTGCTGCTCGTCATTGTTGCCGTCATTGGAATCGCTGCTATCGGAGTCATCGCTATCGTCATCGCTAGTTTCGTCGCCGACATCGTCACCGGCATCCTCTACCTCTTCCATGAATGGTGCATTCTCAGCGATGACTTGGCGCTCTTCTTGCTGTGCAGGGGCTTCTCCAGCCTGTCGTTGCTCGGGATTCTGTCTTACGACTCAATTCGTCAATTGCATTGTGCATTGCCTGTACTGCTTCCCTTACTTCATTCAGATCTCGTCGGATGTCTTCCATATCTAAAATTTGTTAGTATCATGTTGCGCAATTCTATTGCTAGTTTTTTTTGATAAGATACTGCTAGGTGGTTGATTTTCTTCCTTTTTGAAATAGCCAAAAATATAAAATTCTGGTAACTAGTTAATATTTTCTAAACCTGTATCTACGCTTGAAAAATCGATTATTAGCGGCTAAGCTGTCTTCTTCTCGTGCACTCGTAACTTGACACAGAATTTTATAGTGGTGCTGACAACTGCAAGGACAAGGCGGGGTGGGAGGCAAATGACCGCCCACAGGAGTCTCAGGAGTACTTGCGCTGTGCGCATACCGCATGTGCTCACATATAAGTAAGTCAGTGCAACTGCCAGTGCGACCGCTACCACTGCAATGAGCAAGGTCTTGTACCACGTAAGGATGGTATCGATGATGTGGCCAAAATCGGGCCACTGGAACTCGTTGAAAACGGTGTTGTTTACATCCAGTGTTGCCATACCCGGGTAGTGGAACGTGTTCACATATTTCAGTACTCCAGTAATTAAGAACCCGTTCTCAAAACGTCCACAGGATATCGTGCAGTTCAGAATTTGTCTGGCAGAGTCAAGGTGGAAGCGCAGTTCTGACTCTGGACCGTGTGGCGCGCACGGGATTACGAACGCATGTTCAGTACACAATACCTCGCCAAAAATTTCTGTAGCTGAGGTGCATCTTACTTTGGCGAGGGCTCCCCTGCACAGTGATAGCATCCCTGTAAAGGGCTATTTTCCACTGCACATTCGTCCTCTCTCACCTGGAACGATTGCTGTGTCCCAGGTCTTATGGAATTCCACTATGAATTCGGACGAAACCATTTGGGGTATTTTTGCAACCAGGGATGTGTTCTGGTAACGAAGTTCCCAATAGGGTGTCTTTTTGGGGAGTTTATGTTGAAGCTGATCGAATTCTCTAGTAATATGTGCTGACGTGCAGTGACATGAAACAGTGGACTCGGCCGGGGCGCAGTTGCAGTCATCCACTACTGTGCAATTCATGCGCTGCGCTTTTTCTCTAGAGTCGCAAATGAGATTTGGAGTGATGGCCCCTGTCCATACTGCAGTGTCCTCACCATCAGTGAAGAACGTGCTACTCAACGCTGGTGTTGGTGGCATTGATAGGGAAGTCATCGTTAGGCGAAGAGATGGTAGAGTTATAGGAGCATTAGGTATTACTTGCACTATATGCGTTTCCTTGCCCGATCTTATATGAGTGCCTTCTACAATGATTTCCAACATGATTTGTTCACGCCAGCGCATACATCGGAAGATCTCATAGACTTTTGTGTCAACTGGTGTAGCAAATACGCGGTAGAATAGGCAGCCCGAGCTTGGATAGAAGCAATCGCAACCTAATCCTCCGCATGACTCATAGCATCCAGTCCTACCAGGAAAATGATTCCCTCGTTTGAGCTCGGGGATGATACTGGTACTGTTCACCTTTGCGCATTTGTCTCCACTACACGAACCCATGCGTGGACAACGCTTGCTACTTGTCACATTCAGGTTTGTGGAGCGCGTAAAATATAAGGTCTCCCGGTCACAGTGCAAGTATAGCCCTTTCCAACGTATTTTAACATTAGCGATCAATGTTTTATTGCTTACGAGCCTCAGACATGCTTGCTGTTTAAGAGTGTTGATTTTCAACACCTCCATTAGTGCGACCGTGCATGTTTCCGTACCATTGCTTTGAGTGCAGGTGGTAGAGCGGTGTTCTAGGACGTTCACGTGTTGACAGGTATGCGTCCGTTGTACTGCGTACGGCAGCACGATTGCAGTGGCAAGCACTGCTGTTAGTCGCAGACTTCTTTTATTTCTCTTCTGGCGCATTTTACTACGAAATACCTTTTATTTCTCTTCTGGCGCATTTTACTACGAAATACCCTGAAGCAGCAGTACATCCCCTTTGCCAGGATTATGATCAGATTGAGGATGGCTTTCAGAATGATTCGTATCGGCTTCCCTATATTTATTGGTACATAAAGGAAAACGTAGATGATGCCTACGATTGAATAAAGGCATAGGGCAAGTGTTATGATGGCTCCCACCGGCCAACATTCGGGATTCAATAGGACAGGTAAACAGATCCCACAGCCGATATTTTCACAGAAATCAAGCCCTTTACACCGCATTTGCATCGTTGCTAAATGGTTTTCCACGTTCCATTTAAAAAGAACTATGTAGTCACGGATCGTCACCTCCAGTGGGAATTGGACAAGGTGTGGATTTGACTCAAAGCTTGTATTTTGATCTGACTTGTATTTTGTAGTATCGCTCTGCGCAAATTTTGAAATCTTGCCCCTTTTGCGCGCGCACGAGCACCTCCCTTATCAGCGCAGGAGACGTGCATTCCCTTAGCAGGAATGGGTGACGGTGGCTAGCAAACTGAGGATCATCAAATGGAATAGGAACCATTTTGGGCTCTCGCTCGGAGAGGTTTTCATCAAAGTCGCAGTGTTGTGGATGTGAACATTCTTTCTCTTTCGCAAGTTGTAGTCATGCGCCGGAATGGTTTGTCCTTGTGGAGGTTGATCTCCTAGAGAATCCTCTTGGTGGGGTGAAACAGTTTCCTCTGCGCCCTGTAACTCGAGAGGGACCAGGAGGTTAACTGGCCGACGCATTTTTCTTTTTGTCGCCGTTATTAGTTCTGCTTCACGTATTTCTCCATCAGCGCCATGACGCACACTAGTGATCCTAGCCATTCTCCACTCATTCCTGGGAGTACCGGGTCGCTGACCAAAACTACGTCTCCCGGAGTTGGTACCGCTCGACCTAAACGACGGCTAGACATTTATTGTGGGTTGCGCGCAAGGATGTCAAGTACTGTTGTTGCCATATATTCCAAAAACGCTCAGTTTTTTGATACGATGAATGTAGCGCTTCTATGGCTTGCTGTCTATTTTCTAGCGCGTGCAATTCGTTCGATGGGAGATAATCCGGGTCATGTGCTTCATTTCGACTATTATCGAGAGATATAGTGAGATTCAGGTCCCGCTGGACAAAGTCAATCGGTCGCACTGAGTTGAGTTCTTCTTGGACTGCCCTTGGTAGGTAAGAGGTCTCGAGTTGAGGCATGCCTCAACTTCGGTGACAAAGGTCTGGATGTCATCAAGGGAGCGGTGTCTTGCGCCTCGCAAGGCCTTATAAATTGCATGTTTGATTGACTTGATAAGGCGCTCGTAGAACCCCCTTGCCAAGGTGCATACGGAGTGATATGTTTCCATTGGATCTCTCTATTAGTGATACTGCTGATGGTCTCCGCATTTAGCTCATCGCCTCTATCACCCAGAATTTTCGCCGCAAGCAAAAATGTGGGAGCATTGTCGCAAGTGATTGTTTTCAGGAACTCCTCGTCGCGCTATAAAGCGTCGTAGCGCATTCAGAAATTCCTGTATTGCTAAGCTTGGGAGTACTTCAAGGTGTGTTAAGCGGGTTACAGTGCAGGTGAAGATGCAGCCATACAGTTTAGTCTTGATTCCTTCATCTTCATACGGTGGGAGGTCAAAAAAATCTAGACCTGTATGTTCAAACGGCCTGCTTCTCAAGACTCGACGTTCTGGTAAATCTGTAGTGTCCGGGTAATGGTAAAGGTAGCGCATTGAAGCGTCTACAATTTATGCATTTGCCTACGTATTTGCGCACCTGTTGCCGTAGTTTAGGGATCCAATACTTCTCTCTCACGGTCGCCATCGTGTGCTCTATACCTCTATGATATGGGCCATGCGCTTCCTGGATAATGAGATTCGCTAGCGCTGTATTCTGCGCGACGAAAACCGGGTCTTTGGCATCAAACCCCAGTGCTGAATTGCCAAATCTACCCTTTGAGCGCCAAATCTTTTGCCCATCTTGGCCTAAGGTACTCTCCATGGTTTTTCTGTACTCTTTTGTGAGGAGTACTAACTGATGGTTGCGGATAAGAGCGTACCTTCCTGCCGTTATTTCTTGCCCATTCAGGATGAACAGTCATTCTCCAGTTTCGCATATGGCGTGTAGCGGGCGATGCCTCCTCGTCTCTGTCAGTCCGATGTCGTACTTCATCGTCCTGGCTTGCAACATCAGATCTTCATGTGAGCTTCCTGATGCAAGCGTCCGTGCGTTGAAAGTACAGATCGTCATCCTAGTCCTGGAGCGACTCAAATCTCCGTTGGCCCTGTGATTCTTGCAGCCTCGCCCCAGCGATTCCAGCCGACGCCGCCCTGTCGGTGGATCCCTCACGTTCAGGGGAATGAAGCCCATATGTGTTGTTATTTTCGGCGTTAAGAAATTTTACCACACGTTGCTCACCAGGCTCTGACGTGTCCGTGTCCGTGTCCGAGGCCCTCCGCATTCAGTACGGGTTGGAACAGTCCAAACCGTTCAACCCCACGCAGGTTGAGGTTGCGGATAGGACTTGTGAGGATCTCAGCCATATGTTTTAAAATGGCCTCTGCAGTCGCAGTTTTTCAGTTGAATGCCAAAGGGAGAGGGTGTCAGAAATGCTCTATTCCATCGACTTGACGCCCCTTCAGTCGGTTGAAAATTAATAAAAATAAAATTTCGAGAAAAATTAGACATTTTTAGGGGGTCTTCCCATATTCCCGCCCTTTCGAGAAAAATTAGACATTTTTAGGGGGTCTTCCCATATTCCCCGCCCCCTCCCCGACACCGACTACACCTAAGGAACACGCTACCGGGGCGTCTCAAGGGGACACAGGCAATAAGAAGGACAAAAACACTCAATGCCCACTAGCGCTCACGGCGTCCTCTCCCCCCCCCCTTGCCCGGCGCTCCCTCTTCCGCCAGACCAGACAACGACAAGTACATATGTATTAGAGGTCACTGACATTTAATGAAAGCATGTCCTGTCCTTATATTGCGACCTAGTGTGAGATTTCTGCTGATATGTGGACTGGCTAAGAATTCGCTGATGTCGGAAAATTCTTTTCCATGCGCTGCCAGCTGCATGATGACATAAGGGAACCCCACAGCCGATTGCGCGCTTGGTTCCAAGCGAAGCGAGCTTCGATAGTGAAGGTTGGCCCAGGTATGTCGGCGCGCCAACTAGGACATCTACGGCGTGCCCGATCACACCGCAGCGCTCAGCACGTGTCGTACTCTAGTATACTTCGAGCGGCGTTCTGCCATCATGGCAGCATCTTGCCCGCAATTCACCTTCGACTGGCAGAGGCAGCCGAGAGAATGGACCCGGCTGGGGGCAAGGCTTAACGCGGACTTGCGCCTATTGCCGGCGCACGCAACGCGTTTTGACCTTCCAGTCCTTCCAGGCGCGCGTTGCACCCGGGATGGGTAGCGCACCTCGACAATCAGCGTTCTAAAACAGTTCAGCGCTGTACATTTTATCTGGAATAAATGCGGTGACACGGAACCCATTTCCTAGTGAGGTCCCATGGACCTGCAACCCCACCCAAGATGGACTCATTAAACGCACCGTCCATAGTATCGTGAACGTGCCAGATACTGATACTAACTACTAGATACTGACTGTTACAAAGCGTCATTCCTGATGATCGGAAATATGCCTTTCATTTCATCCGGCCGTATAATCTCATTTGGCAGTGTGTTGGCACGATGCCACCTTTCGGGGTAGACTCGACCGAGTGCGCTGAACGCTCACTTGCGGCGCATTGGATCCTTCTTACGTGCGAAGTG